TTGGAGAAGTTTAATTTTTAATAAAGTTCGGCCAAATAGGTCGAACTTTAATACAATGGTCAGTTTTAATCTTTTTGTATAGGTTTCGAACTAAGTTCTCTTGATCCATTGAACTGTAACGACCCTCCTTTTTCTTGGATCAAATCTGACTAGCTCCTATATCTCAACAGCTGTTTGACCCCTACGAGATTAGTGCTTCCTTATAATAATAATAATAATATAAGTATTAATAATAATAATAACAATAATAATAATAATATTATTATTATTATTTATTATAATTATTATTACAATTATTATTATCATTATTAAATATCTTTTAGCATAATTATATTTTACTATAAATATGGTATTTCTTAACCATTATACCATACTCATTATAAACTGACGCAGGATCGAGTCTCCAGCACATCTTAGCCTGAATGACCACACGACTTCATTGTGTAGCACAAATACACCCGTTTATCCCCCTCAACAAAGCTTTACACATGTATAAACATGTATCTCTCAGTGTATACACACCAAGAATGTTTTCTTTTAGGTAGTGAAGTATCCTTAGCTGGTGTTGTATAGATGGCATGTAGTTTTAATGCCCCACGTGTAGTCGATGGGCTTTAAACCCTAATAGATCAATCAACCATTGTACGAGGGGAATAAAACAACGTAAGGCAATAACAGTTTAATTTAGTTTTTCTCAAGTATGCGATAACAAGGAGCTTACAACTGCACTCTTAACAATAAAAATATTCTAGGTAACCAGGAGTGAACAATGATTGGTTGACATAACAAGGAGTGAACAAGGACTGGCTGACATAACAAGGAGTGAACAAGGACTGGCTGACATAACAAGGAGTGAACAAGGACTGGCTGACATAAACAAGGAGTGAACAAGGACTGGCTTACATAACAAGGAGTGAACAAGGACTGGCTGACAAACAAGGAGTGAACAAGGACTGGCTGACATAACAAGGAGTGAACAAGGACTGGCTTACATAACAAGGAGTGAACAAGGACTGGCTGACATAACAAGGAGTGAACAAGGACTGGCTGACATAACAAGGAGTGAACAAGGACTGGCTGACATAACAAGGAGTGAACAAGGACTGGCTGACATAACAAGGAGTGAACAAGGACTGGCTTACATAACAAGGAGTGAACAAGGATGGCTGACATAACAAGGAGTGAACAAGGACTGGCTGACATAACAAGGAGTGAACAAGGACTGGCTGACATAACAAGGAGTGAACAAGGACTGGCTGACATAACAAGGACTGAACAAGAACTGGCTGACATAACAAGGAGTGAACAAGAACTGGCTGACATAACAAGGAGTGAACAAGGACTGGCTGACATAACAAGGACTGAACAAGAACTGGCTGACATAACAAGGAGTGAACAAAAACTGGCTGACATAACAAGGAGTGAAGAAGAACTGGCTGACATAACAAGGAGCGAACAAGAACTGGCTGACATAACAAGGAGTGAAGAAGAACTGGCTGACATAACAAGGAGTGAACAAGAACTGGCTGACATAACAAGGAGTGAACAAGAACTGGCTGACATAACAAGGAGTGAACAAGGACTGGCTGACATAACAAGGACTGAACAAGAACTGGCTGACATAACAAGGAGTGAACAAAAACTGGCTGACATAACAAGGAGTGAACAAGGACTGGCTGACATAACAAGGACTGAACAAGAACTGGCTGACATAACAAGGAGTGAACAAAAACTGGCTGACATAACAAGGAGTGAAGAAGAACTGGCTGACATAACAAGGAGTGAACAAGAACTGGCTGACATAACAAGGAGTGACCAAGGACTGGCTGGCATAACAAGGACTGAACAAGAACTGGCTGACATAACAAGGAGTGAACAAGAACTGGCTGACATAACAAGGGAAAGTGAACAAGGACTGGCTGACATAACAAGGAGTGAACAAGAACTGGCTGACATAACAAGGAGTGAACAAGGACTGGCTGACATAACAAGGACTGAATAAGAACTGGCTGACATAACAAGGAGTGAACAAGGACTGGCTGACATAACAAGGACTGAACAAGAACTGGCTGACATAACAATGAGTTAACAAGGACTGGCTGACATAACAAGGAGTGAACAAGAACTGGCTGACATAACAAGGAGTGAACAAGAACTGGCTGACATAACAAGGAGTGAACAAGAACTGGCTGACATAACAAGGAGTGAAGAAGAACTGGCTGACATAACAAGGAGTGAACAAGAACTGGCTGACATAACAATGAGTTAACAAGGACTGGCTGACATAACAAGGAGTGAACAAGAACTGGCTGACATAACAAGGAGTGAACAAAAACTGGCTGACATAACAAGGAGTGAACAAGAACTGGCTGACATAACAAGGAGTGAACAAGAACTGGCTGACATAACAAGGAGTGAACAAGAACTGGCTGACATAACAAGGAGTGAACAAAAACTGGCTGACATAACAAGGAGTGAACAAAAACTGGCTGACATAACAAGGAGTGAACAAGAACTGGCTGACATGACAAGAAGTGAACATGGACTGACTAACATTACGAAGAGTTAACATGAACTAACAAACAAGCTCTGAATTATCTTTGGCAGAACAGATTCCATCTAGATACTAGATAAATGATATTTGCATCTACTGTAGACTTATTACATTGATAATATAATCAGTTTATTTATATCCGTATACAGTTTGATATAAAAAGAATAATTGCATATATATATATATATATATATATATATATATATATATATATATATATATAATATATATATATATATATATATATATTGATGATATTTTGTGTCTTATGCCCAAAAATGTAGATATACACCATTTTCTTGGAAAATTAAATAGCTTAGCCCATTCTATAAACTTTACTGTTGAGTTTGAAGAAAATAACTCATTGCCTTTTCTAGATGTTTTAATTATTAAGGGTAATAATGAATTCAAATTTAAAATTTACAGAAAACCTACAAATAACTGTTCCTATGTCCACTATTATTCCTCGCATCAAGATAGAGTCAAACTGTCTGTTTTCTCATCAATGTTTTTGAGAGCTTATACGAATTTGTAGTCCTGAGTTCATAGATGAGGAAATATCCAAAATTTATGAAATAGGTAATGATTTAAAATACCCAAGAAATGTAATTGATAAATCTTTTAAAGTTGCTAGGAACACTTTTTATAATCCAAAAAAGGGCAACCAGCCTTATTCAACTAAAAATATGTTGGTTCTCCCTTACCATGAAAACTTGGTTGATATGCCTTCCTTCTTAAGACTTTTAATATTAAAGTTGTATTCAAAAATCTTGATACAGTAAAAAAAACTTTGATTAAGAATTCCCCCAAATGCTGATGGATGTGTCTATAAGATTCCTTGTAAAATTTGCGATAAAGTTTATTACGGTCAAACTGGTAAAATCTCGAACTAAGATTAAAACAACATAAATATAGCATTAGAACTGGACAAGATTCCAATGCTCTATTTATTCATGTAAGAGATTTTAACCATCCAATTGATTTTCAAAAAGTTGAGAAAGTAGTATCAAGCAAGTCCATGGTCGATAGGAATATAATTGAATCTTGTTTCATAAAAAGCAGTTTTGACAATAATATGAATTTCTTTGGTTTATATAAATTAGATCCATTTATAATTAATAGAATTTGGGTAGAATTTAATAATACACTGGACAAATAAATAGCTTGGGGGTGAGTTTTGCAAAGGACCTGTCCAAGTTGGCTCGCCGCGCGTCACGTGTTTAACCGTTGTGGGATCTGATAGTGAGGTGCTGGCCGACCCCTTATATAGCTTCCTTGGATGCTTCACTTTCATAGTTCCTGATAATGTGAGTAGTCACGAAAGCGCTTGGAATTTCTCCTATTCTTTCAGAGTGGTTGTTTTGCATATATATATATAATATATATATATATATATTATATATATATATATATATTATATATATAATATATATAATATATATATATATATATATATATATATATATATATATATTATATATACGTATGTATGTATGTATATCTGCATACAAGCATACAAATAAGTATTGTCAAATAATTCACTGATATGTCCTAACATACTACTACTGATAAGCTCTTGGTATATTCACTATTCCAGTCAGTTACTGCTTGCACTGACTGGTTTCCACGTGCTTGTCTGTCTGCTTGTTTGAGTGTCTGTCGGCGTTAGTCTCTGTTTCTATCTGAATGTCTAGACTGTCACTATATTGGCGTCAGGAACACAAATTTTATACTCTTAAGAGTTGAGACGCACCTGTTTTTCTACCGTGACTCCAGTAACATCTGTTCTCCAGTCCAGTAGCACCTGTCATTAGCTTTGTTAATAAGACCTGCCATTGAGCCGAGACAAGACGCCTCGGTCTTGGAGGGATGTAGTATAAAATAACCACAGTATGGATAAAGACACAAATGCAGTACAATGCGATCCTTTACTGATAACATTTCGCCCACACAGTGGGCTTTATTGAGTCACAAACAGGTCAGTTTCGTGTCGGCGAAACGTTGTCAATAAATGATCACACTGTACTATGTGTCTTTATCCAAACCCCAGTTATATTGAGTAACGAGAATGCTTTCCTCAGTATCGCTTTTCATTAGTTATCACAGTGGCGAAGAAAAAAAAATCCGTTATATATAGCACCTAAATTTCTAACTGAACTTTTTCCTTCTAACTGTTCACATTGCTCTTCCCTAACTCTTTCTTCTAGTTTGCACTTATTTCGCGTGGATTCACTTATTTCTCAATCTTCTTTTCATCGGATTCACACTGCCTTTACATTATATAAGACCCTTGATGACATTTTCCCATGCACTTATGACTCCTTTGCTACGGTTTCAGGAAATTTGTTGTATACCGAATCCTTGCAACCAACACAGAAAACCTCCGCAACACTGAGCGTTGCAAACACTAGCATGTATGCCGTGGAATCATGAGCGGTTGTTCGGCTGATAGGCTGTGGAACAAAAACAATATTACCACGTTGTTAGTGAACTCTTAAATTTAGATTTCATACAGTGACTGTTGGACTAGTGGCCCGTGATTCTCCTCTATCGTGGTCTCTAAACAGAGCTATTAAATACTTTATGGTTGGGCCTGTGCAATATTCTCTAGATGGACCAATACAACGTAGTCTAGATGGACCTGTGCAGTCTAGATGGTCGTGTATATTGCTAACTTTATAATCATTTGATTTGCTCTCTAGATAGACCTATGGGTGACAGTAACACTTAGTGGAAAGTCTGTTGAAGCTGCGTCTAGCAGTGCTCTCTACAGCGTCACGAGTGATACCATAAACACAAGGAAAGCAGCTTGTAGCTTTATACGTTTAGTGCCTGAGCTGCCAAACTAAGCTGATCCAGACCTACTGCATTAGCGCTGTGCAGTTCAATTTGGTAATGACCCATACAGGACGCCACTACTGTCTTCCTTCTGATGGGAAGGAGAATATAGGAAGCTCAGCTACATGCTACTGTGAGTCCATAACCTTAAAGCTCATACGTCATGGCGTGCATGTGAGACTTTCATAACTAAAGTTATATGAAGAGCAGAGCCCGTGTGGGTCGCTTATCGCAAGGAATGGTGGAGGTTCGATCCTCCGTCCAGTAACTGCGGGATAGAATCTCGATTCTAGTAGTCAGGCTGCCCTCTAATATGTATGAGACTGAGACATAATATTCAGTTCACAACTAACTTGATACAGTCTGAGCCTTCCTTATAGAGAGTAACCTAGACACATTTTTTAAATTTCTGGACAAAAAAAAATGCTTTCAAATTGAGGTAAGAGTCAGAAGACTTTTAAGAAGCTGCCAGAGCATCTACCTCTCATCTCACACAAGCAAGATGCTGATTAACTGATCCTGTCAGCATCACAGTCCTCTCATCTTGGTTTCATCCAGGGAGACAACTTGAACACCTTCGTGCCATCTGCATATTGGTTAGTGTGCTTCTCTATTCTAATTATGTTATTGTCTTGTTTTCCTTTCAACTTAAGTCTTTTGTTGATTGTTCTGTGGTATGTGTCTCTTCTGGCACTGGCAAACTCGTTACTTTTATCCGTCGTGGTTTTAATGAGATTCTTAGAGTTTTTGACGTTATTGACTACCTGTTGACCATGTCCTTTCTGTCCTTTGATGATTCTAAAGGCATCCTTCGAGCTTCTTACGGAGTCCTTAACATTCCCAGTGACGTCTATCGGAATTTTGATACCCGTCTTCGTGTGCGTAATGGCCACCCCTGAGTCATTTCTTGTAATCTTTGCGTATTTAGTGACTTCGGAGCTTTTTGCGGACCACTTCGAGATCCTGACACCAGCGTTCTTGGAGTCTCGTGCGGCGCTTTTAGAATCATCGACGGAGTGCTTTGAATCCTTGAGGAAGGAGGTGCTGGAGGTGGCGTTGAGGTCGTAGTGGTAGCTATAGAGATGGAATGGTAGGCCCGGCCAGCCGTGCCTCACCAGAGCGGCGTCAACCTCCTGCATAGCCTTCTCCATCACCTCGTGAAGTTCAGGGGTGAAGGGGTCACTGCAAGGTATGAAGAGTGATCGTTTCAGTGGTTTAAAATAAACTGACCAAAAAGGAATGTAGACCGGTAGATGAAGAGAGAGAGAGAAAAAAGAAATGAATTAAACTTCAAGAAACTCTCCTACCAAATCCCCCGGTCCATCTAACACTCCTCACCCTCCTAACGACACCCCTCACCCTCCCTTTCCTTGGGTACAGACCTGATTACCCCTCCTCCCATCCCTCAGGCACTGTATGACCCCCTACGGGTTTAGTGCTTCCTCTTGAATGTAATAGTAGTGACAAATTCATAAATAACGTTCACCCTTCCAGCTCTCCCTCACACCCTCCTGAGTCACAAAAATTTTCCCTCCCCTCTGCGCCCTCACTCTCATCTGCGCCAGCACCTCATCCTTATCTCCCTCACCAGGGTCTCTCCCCTCATCCCTCCCCCCTCATTTCCCCCCACCAGCACCTCACCCCACGTCCCCCACCAGCACCTCACCCTCACCTCCCCCACCAGCACCTCACCCTCACCTCCCCCACCAGCACCTCACCCTCGCCTCCCCCACCAGCACCTCACCGGAGTCTGTAGAAGATATTATCCGGGGTAGCTCTTCTGAAGGCGCCGTCAAGGTTAGTCATGACACACTGGAGACGCGGCCTTTCTGGCCTTAGTCGCAGGAACTGCAGGATGTTATGCAGCTCTCGCTGGGGATCCTCCAGCAGGTGTTCATAGTGAACCACTAACACGCTTCTGCAACCACAGCAACAATTTTCAACAGTTCACTCCTAGCCTACTTATTTACAATCCAAATACAAAACCTCGCGTCCAGCATTAACACAAAACGCCCATGACTAGGTTACCAGAGACAAGAATAACTTATATAAATTACATAAACTTCAAATACGAAACATATATAGAAACAGCAGCTGTAACCTATATAAATTATGTAAAATTCAAATACGTAACATGTATAGAATTTTAGTAGCAGTAGCAAGCCATCGTTATTCCTCCTTTCCTAAAAGTTTTAAAATAAGGAAGTCATTGACTTTACGAGTGTGTAGCTACTGTAAGAGATGTTTAAAATCAAATGGGCCTCATATAACCATTTCTCATCGTGAAAGTACATATTACTGAACGTGTGTCCTGAAGGATTTCCCATACCAGTACAACCATACTGGCTTGTATTTTTTTTTTTTTAAAGAACGGACATTCCTCAACTCCAAAGTTCAGTAATTATCTCTGTTGACTAAAATTAAAACCGCAAACCTGGTGAGAGTATTTAAACAGTAAGATAATTTGATATCAAAACTAGTTATTGTACAGAGTTTTACTTTCAGGTTTGTAGCCTCTCTCACGAAGGAGGATGTGTCCTCGAAAGCAAGAAAGCTTGGCTAATTTATAATTGAAAGCACCAGTTGTGGATAATATAGGCGGAAGCGGATGATCGGCTTTATGCACTTTGATGAGTTGACACATGCGCAACATCTGGGTATCTTTACTTGTAGACGTTTCGCCATCTACATGACTACGATGCTCGTCACCTGCTCATAGGCTGAGGGACTGATTACCTCGTTTCCCACTGTCTTCTGTATATTTTCCTACAGTCATCTTATGTCCATGTATTGTACTGATTGGCGAAACGTCTGCAATTAAGATACCCAGATGTTGCACATGTGTAATTCATCATCTCGTCGGTGTTGAATACCTTTGATTCATGTACTTTAAGCCATAAATAATTCTAGGTTTTAAATTCGTTACATAAAACTCTGCATATATCAACGTATAAAACGCCATCCAGTTTTAATTCCTTTGGGTGTTCAACTTCATATCTCGGAATCAAGGGAAGGGAAGACATCATCAATGATAACTAAATTTAGTTGTATAAGCCAAGTAATAATTTTATCTATATAATCCAATTTATTATTTACATCTTTATCAAGTTTATCAAGTTTAGTGGCAATGATAGAGAGATATCAACTTAAGTTCTCCAAAGACAAATACGTATATTATATTATATTATTATATATTATATATATATATATATATATATATATATATTATATATATATATATATATTATATATATATATATATATTATATATATATATATATATATATATATATAATATATATATTATATATATATTATATATTTATATATTTAACACGTAAAATGCACGAGATAGATGAGTATTTTCCTTCGTTATTTTAGCATACTTGTTAGTATGTTCCTGTCTGTGCAGTGTCTGCCCAACTCACCTGCCTAAATTGATCCAGTCGAGGGCGTAGGCTCTCCACACATCCATCTGTCCGTACACAAACCTCGCCCAGTCTGTCAGGACACGATAGCAACAGTTACTTCAGAGATACATCATGCTGTCATTCGCCCAGTCTGACAGGACACGATAGCAACAGTTACTCGAATGGAGAAAAAAATCATAGACTGCTAAAGGGTCACTAAGGCTGAAGTTCTCTTGCAATAACATACAAACAATTTAATAGCTAAACTAGAGAATAACGTAAAGCATCAATGTTAATACATTGTTTATACACTGTTGTTGGATTACTGAGAGAGAAGATAAATCCGGTTATTTTCACCACAGTAAAATAACAACAGAAAAACGGGTTCTGCTCATAATGACCTGACGATAAAGAATGACTGAAGCAACGTAAGCCTTTGTCATACTGTTTCGCTCAATGAAATGTTTTCAGCCTGATAATGCTAGATTTTCTTGGGCGAAACGTTGATATAATAAAGGCTTACGCTGTTTCATGCGTCAACTGTTTGCAATAATAAATTATGTTCAGGTAATAATACCTTTCAGTATTAGGTAATATCTTAGGTACAGTTAGGTAATACCTTGACAACACTTCGATCCCACTGATGAGCAGGTTGCTGTAGGTCTCATTGTAGACGTAGTCTGCATTACGTAGGAGTGGGATTTGAAAGTAGTTGAGGCAGGGTAACAGCGTAGAATCTGTAGCTTCAATGGTGTACACAGGATCTTTTCCAGTTTAGGTAAAAAGAGGAGGGTGCTTAATTAAGGTTTAATTCGTGTTAGTAGCACCAGAAGGTTAATAACCCATGAAAGCCAAGCAATGTGGCTGATTCTTTTGAAATCTTTTATAGGTCCTCTTCCAGGATGCAACCCACACCAGCTAAGTCCTAGATATCTGTTTCATGCTGGGTAATAGGGCAGAAAATGTTATTAATTTTGCCCATACGTTTTCCCCTCTGCCTTAGATTCAACTCGAGTTTTTCCAGCTGTGAATCGAATGTGTCATCTTTGTTCTTCGGGATACCTAAAAGAGCTCGTAGAGGTTAAGAGGCTCACATGAAATGGAATAAAAAAAAAGAGTTGAGAAGTCTTACCTGCGCCACGAAAGGCAGCTGGTCCAGCCACGCCCAAGTGACCAGCAGACAAGTAGTTCCTGTAGGCGATGAGAGTGTCGTAGGGGTTCCTCAAGAGCAGGAGACCTCGCCCGAAGAATTTGTCCATGTCCTTCACCCGCTGCTCCCTGAAGGAAGGTTCTTATGTTACTATCCTTCTTGCCACTGTCATTGCCACTGTCCATCTGTCTTTCTCTTTATTATGAAAGTTCTCGCTAGTTATACTACATTATTATTACGTTCAGAAACGGAACTCAATGGAATAAGTCACTTTGTCTGACGTTTTGGGGATTATTATACATAATTTACACTACGTATGATAATTGTACTTATGTGAACCTGAGCCAAATAAACTTACTTAACCATGAAATTTACACAAGCTACGCATCTAACCTATAAAAGAAAACGTAATCACTTGCATTTCTCATTTTTTCTGATGGTAGTTTACCCTACGTATTGCTAGATATTGTTGACGCTGAGCGTAACGGTACAGACGATACGGTACAATGACACACATACAGCACTCAAGACAGTGTCCATCAGCCCGTTAAGACAAACAGAGCTCTGTAATTTGTAATTAGTGCAACCTAAAAAAACAATGCCTTTACATACATCTGTTCCTGGTGTGAAGATCACCTTGGACCAATGTATGATCCCTGAATTCATTGCAAGTATGCAAAATACAGTCCAATGCTTTTATCTGTGATGTTTTTAGTGTTGCAAATGCACGGTTAGGTTACGTATGATTCGCCAGGAAAGAGGACAATTATTTCGTGACGCGGGTCTTAGTCATATAATGACCCGCCACTGGAGCATTTGGTCATCTGACTGAGGCCTTCAGCTGGCTTACTCGTCCACCATTTATAAAAAAAATAAAATTAGTTTTACGAATATACCACTGACGCAAAATATATATTTCTTAGGAGAAATAATAACACAGTATTTTCATTGTTGAATATACAAATAACATAATTAGTGTCACTTGTGAATTTTTTAGTACGAGTCGAAGGGAGAGTCATACAGAGACGTAGCGCTTATACTCAAAAATAAATTCCACAAATTTTATTCAGATTATATCTGACTGTTTTTAATAAAAGAGTTGCTACCCTGAAACTAACATCCAAGTGCATTTACATATGTTTCCAGAGTTATACTTATTTTGTTTACTAATCAGTATTCAGTTCCAGAAACACAAAGTTTTATTGTTTCTCATCTTGTCTGCCTAGGAACTAGCATCTCTCTCTCTCTCTCTCTCTCTCTCTCTCTCTCTCTCTCTCTCTCTCTCTCTCTCTCTCTCTCTCTCTCTCTCTCTCTCTCTCTCTCTCTCTCTCTCTCTCTCTCTCTCTCTTCATATGCGTTTCTTTGTCTCCCATGTTATCACCTGACCTTCCTAGAAGCTCTGTTTCTCACCTGACCTTCCTTGAAGCTCTCTGTTTCTCACCTGACCTTACTAGAAGCTCTCTGTCTCTCACTTACCAACCTTAAAACGTCTCTGCCGCACACTTTACCTCCGTAGAAGCTAATCTCTATCTCGTCTTTCTTACCCAGGAGCTTCTGTCCCTTACTTTGCTTACTCTCTTTTTCCTCAACTGTCTTTCATCTCACCTTTATTTCTACTCACCTGTCTTCAGGTAGTCCACCGAGGCAGTAACCGTGAGTTTTGACAACGATGGTACACCCGCACTCTGGGATCTCATTCTCCCCGTAAAACCCTGCAAAAACGACAACATCGTGAAGCTCTTGTTGCAAATCAACATGAGTTTTATTCTTGCGCCAGTGCCATTAAAAATTTTTCCACAGAGAATGAAAAAAATGATCTGCAACTTTGATTCATTTCTATTTTCTATTATTGTTTTGTGTAGTTGAAAAAGTACAGATATTAACTGAGATATAAGTTATTTGGTCTAGAGATTAGAGTGGTGAGGGTAACAAGTCCTAATCTTTGAATTGCTTCTGATTGGAGTTCAAGATTGCGTGGTGTGTTCAAGTTAATGCTTCAAGTTTTTTCTGTGTTTCCAGGGTCGTGTATGATTCCGTTATTTAAATACAATATTTCATATTTCTCTAGCCAGCGCCTCCTTCCGTAAGTTTTCTACTGAAAGTCACAGTCGAACTCACTACTTGATGGTCCAAGTCGGACCGAAACGTCTTCATAAGTTTGATTCTCCTATGTGCGCGTTGTTTGTGTATTGAATCAATCGACCTCAGTAGTTTAGCGGAACATTCGTACTCAGCAATGAAAAAAAATTCAAATTTAAACCTCTTTAGGAAGACTCTGAATGCCAGTGAGGATCACTTAGTGCAAACACTGAGAAGTTTTTGTCCCTTCTAAGGATCGAACCTCAGCGCTTCTCTCAAAATATAATAATAATAATAATAATAATAATAATAATAATAATAATAATAATAATAATAATAATAATAATAATAATAATAATAATAATAATAATAACAATAATAATAAGTTATAAATTTCCAATATTATTATTATTTGATTATAAGTATTGTTATACCAATAATAATAATAGAATACTACTGCGACTACTATACTACTACTACTATACTACTACTACCACTACTACTACTACTACTACTACTACTACTACTACTACTACTACTCCTACTATTACTAATAATAATAATAATAATAATAATAATAATAATAATAATAATAATAATAGTAATAATAATAATTCAGTTCTGCTGAAAAAGACTATAATTTCTCATTATTCTCACCCAGCCAAGTTCATCAGCATTTATGACGAAATTCATTAACGAATTTTAAATTAATAAGGATTTTAGTCACTGACACACACACACACACACACACACACACACACACACACACACACACACACACACACACACACACACACACACACAACACACACACAACACACACACACACACACACACATACACACACACACACACACACACACACACACACACACACACACACACACACACACACACACACACACACACACACACACACACACACACACACATACAAAAACCCTCTGACAAGGACATAAAGCATCAAATCATACGTCAGGAATCACAGAAAAAATACCTTTGGCTGCCAATTCCCTGTCAATGTAGACAGAGCCGGTGAAGAGACCTGTAGCACTCTGGATGAGGTACCTGTAGAAGACGAGCAATACGTACCTGTTTTAGTTCACAAAGCGAAAGTTAAAACAGAAGACCTCTTATATAAATATCCTGCACACAGGAAAAACAAGTTTCTCCTATGTGAGGGTTATTTATGTATTCTTCCAGTCACTGTGTCGCGTCTTGTTGTTCTTTAAAACTCGTTATTTTGCCTTAGCTCATAGCTCAGTCCTATCTACAGTATACTACGACGGACCCTTCAAGGAAGGTTCCTTGATGCTGGTGAGGGGCTCTTGATCTAGGGAATTAGATCTGTGCTCCAGTTCCCTGAATTAAGCCTGAATACCTTCCATTTCCCCCCTCACCACCCCACAGGCGCTGTATAATCCTACGGGTTTAGCGCTTCCCCATGATAATAATAATAATACCAACACTAAACTAAGACCCAGGTACCTTTTTATTGTTAGGTGAATAAAGGAAATAAGGTCTAAAGAAACTTTATCAATATTTACATTCGGCCCATGATCGAACTCGGGACCTTCAGTTGTGAGCTGGTGACGCTACCACTGAAGCACAAGCCACATTACTGGTTTGTGTACTTGTAAGGAGAAGATGAGAGACATTTACTAATGCTTACTGAGGGACGAATCGAAACTCTGACGAAGAAAAGAAAATCACTGAGTAATTTTAAATTACACAGAGAGAGAAAGAATAAGAATAACAGAGGAAAACAGAGGAAAAGAAATACTTTATACAACCCATTATAAGTGCACACCCATGCATGAAGGAACATTAGTATAAATACGTACTTAAATACGAAGACATATACCTCTTTCAGCACCGAACATTTCCGTCTATTTTCCTCATTTAACTTAACACTACTTCACGCCCACTCTGCCTCGTACATCCCAGGACAAACCATAACACAAGGATAACCCAGGCAGTCACTGATTGCGGCGGAGAACACGTCAAGATTATGTACATTAATATTGACAGAATATGTAACGAGTGAGCTAAATAAACAAAATGGGAGAATAATACACAAACCTAAACTCACTCACCGATTCGACGATAATAAAAAAATGATATCAGATACCATCTTTCCAGGTGGTTATCATATGATGAGACATGACGACAAAAAAAAAAAAAAATATATCAGGGGAGGGACATGGTTATCAAGAAACATTAGACCTCAATGGAAATGGCAACCCAACCACGAAGACTTTAAAGATTATGCAGTGGGAACAATTAGCATTTCATGTTCACAAGTGTGAGAGTTATATGCAACCCTCTGTCAAACAACAGAATACTCAGATTGGAGTATCATAATGGTAGTAAGGCAACGGCACCCAACAGGACAAAAGGAAAAAGCCTAATCCTAGGAGAGTTTAATCGTGACAGGTTACACTAGGTGTAGTGACACCTAGGAATCAATATTACACATTATTTGTCTTTTGAGTTGCACATTAAACATAGCAACAATAGCATCGTTCGTCAGATTAGCAAAGCTGATTTTTTTAAACAGCTATTCATTTCACACAGGTAAGTACAAATATATGAGTACGTACCTCAACCAGGTATTGCCAGATCCAGGGAAGGAGGCAAGAGCAGTCCTGGGCAGAGTCCTCCTGCGGGCGAAACCCACTCTGAGACCCATACAGCCCGTCTTGCCCGCCCATGGCTCGTGTTGTGGGCGGCCGTAGTCTAAGTGGATCTTGAGGTAACCTGTAAGGTAAACAGTTGAAACAGTGTGTATTGTTGCTGGAGTATCTAAGTAACATTGATGTACGTGGCACTTGCATGTTTTCTTATCGATACTTGTTAATAGGGGGCTAAATAAAGTCTCTTGTGCACACACACACACACACACACACACACACACACACACACACACACACACACACACACACACACACACACACACACACAAAACACACACACACACACGCGCACAGCATTCACATGCCATTCTGGGTGACGGCAAACCCGGCCTTGCGTAGTTTAAGGATCCTGGTAAAGAAGTCTCTTTCCAGCTTCCCATGAGAGACGCCTGAATTATTAAACAACCTTTCTGAGTTTGGTGCATTTATAAAGTTGTTATTTGTCTTGTACCGTATATAACCTTTCCAATGACTAAATCCTCTTTCTATAGCAAAGTATATTTGTTACAGACAATATTACATGTAAATGAACATATGTACAACTAATAAGACACTTATTAAAGCTACGTTTCGCTCACCAGTAGCTTCCGGCAAACGACATACAGCCTAAATAAATGATTACTTGCACGTTTGTCCCTTTGTCGAGCAGCAGCACAGTTGGGTCGCAAATTAAGTCAAATACACTTAGAATCATTCGAGGAATTATCGTATGCTTCACGGATTCTCTTTGGACATTTACACGCACAGTCAATCCATTAATAACAGTATTCATAATACATACTGTGCACGTGATGGGCATTCAGAGATTTACGACACAGGATTATATTATACACTGTGTGTGTGTGTGTGTGTGTGTGTGTGTGTGTGTGTGTGTGTGTGTGTGTGTGTGTGTGTACACTGAGAACTTATTTTAGTCCCAATTTTAAGGATAAAATTATTCTTGGCTTATAAGGAACAGGTTACATACATGCGACTATCGTGTAGTTGACATACACAAATAATTTTGTAAAGTTTCCAGTGACTGTAACATACATTATATTCTCCTAAACACCATTCCATTATTCTACCTCCATGAAGAAATATTTTCTAGTACCCTTTCGAAACTAATTTTATCTCTCAGTTTACAGGTCCGACCTCATGTTCTCCCTCTTTAGTATAAGGACCGAAATATCAGGCAGTTTTCTTTCTTCTCTGCAAAAAATGAGCGTTTTAAACGTGATGTTCAGTGAACATCAGTGTATACGGGATGTGTATATGCAATAAGATAACAGTAAACAGGTGATATCACAATATGTAAAATAACCAGTGAAAAAGTAGGGAAATTCCAAATGCTTTCATGATTTCTTACATTATCCTGGAATAGTAAAATAATAAGAGAAAAGAAGACATAATGCTGAGATGTCACCTCCCGTATACACTGATGTTCGCTGAACATCACGTTTAAAACGCTCATTTTTTGCAGAGAAGAAAGAAAACTGCCTGATATATCGGTCCTTATACTACAAGAGGGAGAACATGAGGTCGGACCTGTAAACTGAGAGATAAAATTGGTTTCGAAAGGGTACTAGAAAATATTTGTTCATGGAGGTAGAATAATGGAATGGTGTTTAGGAGAATATAATGTATGTTACAGTCACTGGAAACTTTACAATATTATTTGTAGAGCTGTATACTTGTGGAACACCACCAGTACATCCCTGCTGCTGTAACTACAAACGCTAAAGACAAGAGTCAGCCAGTACAGCTCAGTTGCTGTAACTACAAACACTAAAGACAAGAGTCAGCCAGTACAGCTCAGTTGCTGTAACTACAAACACTGAAGACAAGAGTCAGCCAGTACATCCCTGCTGCTGTAACTACAAACACTAAAGACAAGAGTCAGCCAGTACAGCTCAGTTGCTGTAACTACAAACACTAAAGACAAGAGTCAGCCAGTACATCCCTGCTGCTGTAACTACAAACACTAAAGACAAGAGTCAGCCAGTACAGCTCAGTTGATGTAACTACAAACACTGAAGACAAGAGTCAGCCAGTACAGCTCAGTTTCTGTAACTACAAACACTAAAGACAAGAGTCAGCCAGTACAGCTCAGTTGCTGTAACTACAAACACTGTAGACAAGAGTCAGCCAGTACAGCTCAGTTGCTGTAACTACAAACACTGAAGACAAGAGTCAGCCAGTACAGCTCAGTTGCTGTAACTACAAACACTGTAGACAAGAGTCAGCCAGTACAGCTCAGTTGCTGTAACTACAAACACTAAAGACAAGAGTCAGCCAGTACAGCTCAGTTGCTGTAAATACAAACGCTGAAGACAATACTGAACCAGCACAGCTTTGCTGCTGTTACTACAAACAATGAAGACAAGACAACCAACACAATTCTACTGCTGTATTACAAACACTGAACAGAGAACAGCACCAGCACATCTCTGCCGCTGCACAGTACCTACACACAGATAATCTTACCTAACATCCTAGAATTTGAAAGATTTGAATAAAGCCCAAGATGCTAGGAATCACATATTCATTTTTATTCAAAAGCGAAAATATGAGAATAAAGAAAG